TTTGCTAACTTGGATGTAAATGATATAAATGTAACAAACAAGTTATTAATAGAAATTAAATTGTGAATATAATTTCCCAAGTTGTGTGCATAATGATGCTGAATTGAATTTAATATGCATCGATGAACTCAATTAATGAAGACAGAAATATGGTCAATTTGATTCTTTTCCAAAACACTAGCAAACAAAAATGGCCTTCGGACACAGATCACTCCACAGCTTTATTATCGAACTTCATCTGCCGCACAATACGTGATATTTTCTAACCTCGATTTACACTCCCTCTCTCATTTTCCTTTCCCTTTTTCCTCTCAACTTCAAACCCACCAGAAAACGAGATTAAGGTGTGTTTGGCACTAGGGAAAATGAGTAAAGAGAAAAATACTTTAAATAGAAATATTAGAATTACGGAGATTCAGATGTGATGATAGCGTATGTCCAAAATGCCCCTGACAAAATCCTCTAACTTTGTTCTCACTCAGTACCAGTCCAGTGTTTTGTCTGCAAGCACTTTTCACGGAACACAGGACAAAGAGTTTACTGGAACAGGAAAATATAATATAATTCAACGTACACAGATCAATCTTCACAAGGTTACAGTTAATTATCCTCTAAGTGCTCAAGCAGCATATAACTTTATGTTAACTATACTTCTAACCTTATGTGGCACAATCTGGACAGTTACGTAAAAAATTGTTGGGGAAATCAAATGATATAATAGTGTCATATGGAAGAATGTCGACAACGATGTAAACGCTGATGCACATGTAACATGATTGTTAATGTATTTATGTGTTGGCCCTTTCGTTAGTAACTTAGTTAGGTGAAGGTCGACATCATGTTAAAATAAGTCAATTCATCATATGTTAAAAGTTCGAATGGTTACAAATGATTCACATTGGAAGAACTAGTCAATAACAGAAGAAGTTCAATTAAACTCAATCACTAGTCAATTCACGTGTATCACAAGTTAATAGAATAGGAAGAGCACGTCTTAATTAGCTTTTGTGTCACTAACATACTACTATTGTACAATTATTAGATCATTATTGTCTATACATAATGCAATTATTGACTACAGTCTTTGCAACTATTGAGAATCGATACAAATGATTTCTTCTTTAATTATACTCGTTAAAATATTTATCAACCTTTGCTAGGGGATATTTCTTTTTCTTTTTCTGACCTCTGGTGTATACAAAAAGTCAATCTCATTAAAAGAACCCTTTTTTCAACTTTTCTTGTCAATTACCTAATTGGTCACTAAAATTTGCGGATGTTTTTCAGAGGGTTGTTGAACTTCAAAAGCTTTCCCGTTAGTCACTAAACTTTACAAAACATATTTCTATCCATTACTCAATGATGTGTGTATATATATTTAATAAAGTTCAGTGATTAGTATGAAAACTTTTGAAATTCTCAGTAATGGATGATATTACATTTTGTAAAGTTTAATAACTAGTGGAATTTTGTTTTGAAATTTAGCGACCTTCTAGAAACATTTTACAAAGTCCAGTGACCAGGTAATTATCCCCAACTTTTCATATTTATTGATGCAAACTTTACGTTTCAAACTCGTATAAATAGTAATGGCATGTAATAGAAACCATAATTCCTCACACAAAAGTACAAAAAAACATTAAACTACTTTTCATCGACACCTAATTTATGAGTATTGTAATTTTTCGCTTTGCCGTGGAAAATTACCATCCATGACTTCCAAATTGGAGATTTTATCCTTTGAAACACAAAAAAAATATTATTTTTTTAAGTATAAGCTCTTTAAATTTCTTTCTAATTGTAGGAAGATCACTATGTAAATTTCTCTTAAATATTAGCCTATGTTTAATTCAACTAAAAAGTTAGATTAAAATTCAAGTCAAAATCTATAATTAATTTTAACAATTCATTTTGTGAGATTCAAAGCTTTACAATCACACATTTTATTAATTTTTATCAAACCTTACTAAAAAATTAATTTTTATTTAAATTAAAGAGAGGTTAATATGTGGTTGATAAGTAAACAAGGGATAATTTAACTTGGTACCTTCACAAATTAATTCCCACCTACACCTACCTACCAACATTTTAATGCAAATTCTCTGCAAACTGAAAAATTCCGTAGCTGAAATTACTCAAAATTGCAGTCTTCAAAATCTTCAACTGTGCCAATTTTAGTACCACAATCGCAGAATTCAAAATCCTCTCTCTCTCTCTCTCTCTCTCTCTCTCTCTCTCTCTCACTCACACACACACACACGCACAGTACTAAAATACATTCCTACACAATAATAATAATAATAAATGCAATTAAAATGAGTAGACAGCAGTAAAGCCAAAATAATGTTTTGATGAAACATTCAACCGAAAAAAATGAAGCCCACCAATCACACAATTTTGTAAAAGGTTATTTCTGCAAAGGTTAATTTCACCTTTTACGTAAGACTCTAAACAAAATACGTTTCAAGCTTTGGAAGACTTGAACTAGCAGACAAGTGCTCAGCACAGAATCTAAACTTGCCTGTTTCTGGGAAAATGAGGTTACATGTCAATGCCCTGTAAAGTAAAATTTTTTACTACATTTGTGCCAGTAGAAAAAGCTCTTTTAAGCAATACCAAAAATGTAAACTGGGTCTGAATTCGACATAAAGCCAAATCTTATTGTTATGCAGAATCCATTCTTTTACTTTTCAATCTTTCAGACTGATCTTGTGAAAAATCAGTATATGAAAAGACATGGGATTTCAATCAATGGTTAATATTTTAGTTCTTTAAGAACTAAAGTTTGAACTGAATCATTTGTGTTTTGAATTATGAATAAATGATAATCAATCAACTAGAAGAAATAATAAACAAATTATATGTATGCATTAATTCAATAAATATTAAGACCAGCGTAATGACAGTAAAATTCAAGAACTCGCTTTTATATACATCATGAACGTTCATTTCTTGATATCTGAAGCAACAAAGAAAGGGGAAAAAATAAAACGCATCTTGAAATACCAAAATAGCCACGGTTTACCCTTCAAATTACTAGAACCATCAAAATATCATCACTATAATAATGAGAAAAACGTGGGTATTTTGGGTAAATTCTAACAAAAAATATAGCCAAAAACTTAACAACAGAAAAGGCTAGTAAATAAACATAGCTTGATTAGCTTCTACTTGTTGTGTAGAGGATCTGGGCAACTGGGTATTCTTCTCTTTGAATCAGTGAATGTACCATTTTCAGTAGTGTTGAGATCAGAAAGTCTGGCATTGAAATACTTCCGGAAGATTTCTGTTTGATTCTTGGCAGATTCTACTGTTCGCGTTTCTCTCTCTACTTCCTCCATTGGCTTTTCTTGAAGAATTCTTATTGCTTCAGCTTTGTTTTCATTGAAGACCCAAATATGAAGTACCGAAATGATCAAAAGTACTATAAGAGAAGAGTACACGACTGCTCTTCTTCCGCCGGAAAATGACATCGCTGGAATATACCCACATAAAGATGAAGAAAGCCGATATTTTCTTTGGAGATTTCCAGTGAATAATTGCCGACTACTGAAAAATGATTACCCTTTAGCCACAATGCTCCTCTCTAAGACTAAACCCCTCTCTCTCTCTCTCTCACACACACACACACGCCAGATCAAATACTTGAGTATGAATTGACAGCTTTGTGTTTTACATACATTATAGAGAGAGAGGAGAGAGAGCCGTGCTCATGCAAGAGGGGACCCACACCCACTGATAGGAGCATATATCGATTAGGCGTTTTTGCACTGTAGATAACGCGCTGGTGTTTAATTGGAGAGCGAATTAGGGTTCGATTAACTAGTAATGTTATTCGTGCATAATTATTTAC